TAAACAGTTTATATTAAATTTCAGCCACGGTTGCAAAACACCTTCCAAAGAATCTTTTCCTTTCTACTCTATTTTAGTGCCTAATAATTAAAATTTCATCACATTGGCTTTACAAGTAGCAGTTTTTAGGCCTGAGCAAAACACATTCCTGGTTACCCAGCTAATTTTATTTCAATGAACTCAACAGGAGTCTATGGCTTGAACTGTATTTGTCCCAACTACTGTGGATATATCTGAATCAATAAGATTTATCTACATATTGACTTGCTATTCAAAAGTTGGTTCAATGGATCAACTCTAGTTGGGACTAACCAAGAGGATTCAGGCCACTAGAGTTAAGTCATCCATCCCTGACGCTCCCCAACCCTAGCTTTCTTTTTGGGTCGTGCTACAACAGAACCAAACCAATAGTCCCACTATATTCTGTACTAGTCAAGTCTCACTTGGAGTACTTCATTCACTTCTGGACACCTCATTTAGGAAGGATATACACACATTGGAGCAAATTCAAAGAAGAGCAACAGGGATGATAGGAGGTATGGAGAACAAAAGATATGAGGTAGCATTGAGGGAGTTGAGCAGCTTCAAGCTGGTGAACAAAAGACTGATTGCACTTTTTAAATATATAAAGGGCTGTCATAGAAAGGAGGCTACAGGTTTGTTCTCTGCTGCCCCAAAGGATAGGACCAGATCTAATAGTTTTTAAGTTACAGGAGGGCAGATTTCATTGATCATTAGAAGAAACGTCATGATGGTAAGAGTGCTTTAACGATGGAATAAATTACCTCGAAAGGTAGTGTGGTCTCTTTCTCTGGACCTCTTCAAAAAGAGGCTGGACAGACACCTGTCAAAGAATTAACTCAATTGGCTCCCACCCTGAATCCATTATTGGAACCAACTAGAGCATGCTGTGATGCTTTTAACGACTTTTTTGCAGATAAAATCTCTCAGTTAAGGGCCGATCTAGATGCGGGCATTATAACAGAGCCAATAAGAGAGATGTCCAGGGACTCTGTGGACTGTATTAAACTGGATCAATTTGAGTTTGTAAATACCGATGAAGTAGACAAGCTTCTTGGATGTGTAAAGAAGACAACGTGCCCTCTTGATCCTTGCCTGACTGCCCAGGGAGGAGATGCTGTAAAATCACTATTACAGCTTATAATTAATGCATCCTTCAGGAAGGGCAAATTCCATCAAGTTTAAAACTAGCGGTAGTTAAACCGCTCCTGAAAAAACCCTCCCTTGATCCCCTGGTAAGAAATAATTATAGACTGGTCTCCCTATTACCATTTTTGGGCAAAGTGATCGAGAGGGCAGTTGCCTTCCAGCTCCAGACAGTCTTGGATGAAGCCGATTATCTGGACCCATTTCAAACTGGCTTCAGGGCGGGATACGGGGTTGAGACTGCCATGGTCGCCTTAGTCAAGGACCTCTGTCTGAGTATCGACAGGGAAAGTGTGACCCTGTTGGTGCTCTTGGACATCTCAGTGGCATTCGATTCCATAGACCATGGTATCCTTCTGGGGTGCCTGAGGGAGTTAGGTATTGGAGGCACTGTGCTTCAGTGGCTACGGTCCTACCTCTCAGGCAGATCCCAGACGGTGAGGTTGGGGGACAGTTGCTCCTCTGAGAGGGAGCTGACATTTGGCATTCCGCAGGGCGCCATACTGTCCCCCATGCTGTTTAACGTTTACATGAAGCCACTGGGAGAGATCATCCGGAGATATGAAGCGCGGGGTTATCAATATGCTGATGACACCCAACTATACTTCTCTATGTCTCCGACTGCTGCGGTGACTAAGGATGGTATCACTCCCCTGGACGACTGCCTTGGGTCGGTAATGGGCTAGATGAGGGAAAACAAACTCAGCTTGAATCCAGAGAAAACAGAGGTGCTCGCGATAGGTACCCCTGGTCCGGGGAGGGAATTTTGTCAACCTGTCCTAGATAGGTTCACACTTCCCCTGAAGGACAAAGTACATAGCTTGGGAGTACTCCTGGACTCATCTCTACAGCTGTCATCTCAAGTAGATGCGATGGCCAGGAGTACTTGGAATCAACTTCGGTTGATTCGCCAACTGCATCCCTACCTGGACCGAAGGGACTGAAGCAGTAGTACTTGCCCTGGTAATTTCTCGTTTGGACTTCTGTAAAGCGCTCTACATGGGGCTACCTTTGTACCAAGTTCGGAAACTTCAATTAGTTCAAAATGCGGCAGCCAGGCTGGTCGCCAGAACATCTAGGGCGGACCGTATTATACCTGTATTAAAAGCTCTTCACTGGCTGCCGATTAGTTTCCAGGCGCAATACAAAGTGTTGGTCGTTACCTTTAAAGCCCTACATGGCTTGGGGCCGAGTTACTTGAAGGAATGCCTCTCCCCACATAATCCACCCCGCACTCTCAGAACATCAGGGAAGAATTTACTGGAATACTACAATACCAGATTAAAAGTAACTTCCCAAAGATCATTCACAGCCGCATCTGTGGAACAGCCTGCCGGAAGAGATTTGTCTTATTACTACATTAGAAGCCTTTAAGAAGGCGCTTAAGACCCAATTGTAATTCTAAAGGCTAATAGTACTACCTGATATGGCCTCCCGGATACTTGAAGATGATGAACAATCTGGTTACATGATTGGGTATTGGATTTTATTATATCGATTGTTGGTTTTTTATTATTGTTATGATTTTATATATTGTATTTTTGTATATTATTTTATATTTTATATATTTTCCTGTAATCCCACCTCAATCCACAGGGAGAGGCGGGAAAATACAAATAAAAACTTTTATTATTATTATTATTATTATTATTATTATTATTATTATTATTATTATTATTATTATTATTATTATTACCTGCTAGGGATGCTCTTCAATGGTTCCCAAACCTTGATCTTCCAGTGTTTTGAACTTTAACTCCAAGAAGCACTACCCAGCTTGGCCAACAATCAGGAATTCTGGAAGCTGAAGTCCAAAACACCTGGAGGACCAAAGTTTGGGAACCACTGCCCAGATTTCCTGCACTGAGTGGAGGATTGGACTCATTGACCTGTGGGACCCCTTCCAACTTTATGATTCTATGATTCTAGTCAACTAGAACTAATTACTGCTATTCAAACATATTTAATATTGTTAGCAAGTACTGAGAGTCATAAAAATATTTGTAGCCCTAGTGCAATTAAGCAAAAGTGCACATCATTTTGTTACAGCAAATAAAACTATACATTCTCTTTTCCTCTGTCTGGACATTGGCTTAATCACATCAGGACAATGAACTCATATCAAGGGGAGGTGGAGATGGTGTAATCTTCTCTCTTTTCATAAGATTTCCCCCCAGGAGATACATGAGCAAAGCCTGAGCACAGGCATAAGTAATTTCTCTTTACCCCTCTATTTAAAAAGCAAACCAACAAAAAGGCCTTCATTTTCCAGAAAAAGATGATTAAATGATCAGGAATCTGGGCAATATAACAAACTCATCAGGATCTGTAGGCGCAACTAGATTTGTTCATGACCATTTTTATCGTGGTTATACTCAGGCACTCATTGAGAAAATGGTACTTGACACTGACTAGACTGAAAAGCACTCATTAGAAAATCCAGCCCTTGTTATCAAAGACAAAGCCTCGGCACTGTCTGTGGACCAAGCATTCCAGTTATAAAACGCAGAGCATCCAAGCTGAAGAAAAACCACATTCAGAATCAGCCGGCTGCAGAGGGTGGTTGCAAGTTCAATCATTCATGAGAAAAGAGCGGGACTTTGTCTTTGGCAAACACAGATGTGCTTCTTGTGGGTGATGGCAGCATAGAGGGAAAGAAAATGATCTACACACTAAAAATATGAAGATTTGGTCTCTCTTTTTATTCACATACCTCCTTCCCGTTTTCAAAAAAAAAAGGCTCCCTCCACAACTCACAGCCAGCCAAGAAGTAAGCCAATAAGCCAAGTGCGATGCCATCCTGTTTTTGCAATCGCAGGCAGGCAGAAGAAGTTTACAGAAGCCATGGCAAGATGCCATCCATGGCATTAATTCAGTTTGGTGAAGTAATGATTTTGCCACTTCGCAAACTGTATTGTTTTCACTTTCTGTAAGCATGTCAGCTGTGCAAAAACAGCAGACAGCTTGTGGTTCACAATGGCGCTATGGTGAAACAGCAGTATCAGGGGGCCTTTCACACTACACAATTATAACCCTATGATTCCACTTTAATCTCCATGGCAACAGGCTGTGGAATCCTGGATCTTGTAGTTCTGGGGGGGCACTAGAGGGTTCTGGCTGAGAAGTCTAAATACTCCCTCTAAACCAGTGGTTCCCAAACTTTGGTCCTCCAGTAGTTTTAGACCTCAATTCACAGAAGACCTAGCCAGCTTGGCCAATAGTCAGGAATTTGGAGAGATAAAGTTCAAAACATCTGGAGGATCAGTTTGGGAATCACTGCTCTACACCATAAACTGCACAAAATTCCACAGGAGGCAGCCATGGCAGTTAAAGTGGAATCATACTGCGACTGGAAGTTCCTGCATGGCAAGGAGTTGGACTGGGTGGCCCTTGTGGTCTCTTCCAACTCTATGATTCTATGATTCTAATTGTGTAGCATGAAAAAAACAAACCTCTAGGTCATTATCACCAATAGCCAGTGCCTCCCAGGTTGATTTGTGGGTCTTGTCTTTGTTTCAGATTGCCTGGTTTGGTTTTGATGACTATAAGCCAGTTGTCCCAATCTCAACAAAAAGTCTGTATATGTCTGGGAGGAAACTTCACATGGTCAAAGACTTTATATGCAACAAGAAATAAGAGGGGAGGTCTCCAAACAAGCAGGGCACCCCCCCAAAAAAGGATCAAAAGGAAGTAAGAGAGAATCCTTCAAACAAGTTTATCAGGAAAGTATCAATGAAACAATAAGTATTACTATGAAAAAGATAAGGAAAATGACAGAAGACTATAGGCAATACAACAATACAATGCATAACCATTTATAGGGACGTATTCAACCCAGTGTGGTATAGTGGTTTGAGAGTTGGACTACAACTCTGGTGACCAGGGTTTGATTCCCTGCTCAGCCATGGAAATCCACTGGTGGACCTTGGCCAAGTCACATACTCTCAGCCTCAGAGGATGATAATGGCAAACCCAGACTGAAGAAACATACCAAGAAAACCCCATGTTAGGTTTGCCCTAGGGTCACCATATGTTGGAAATGACTTGAGGCCACACAGCAACAACAACATTCAAAAAGGTAACAAGAGCACCTTCAAATTCTAATGGATGATCCTTAAGCCACACATGTTCCACAACTGGACTTAGACGGACACTAATATCCAAGTCCGTTCAAATGCATACGCGAGCTGGACATGAATGCAAAATAGAAATACCCAAAAGGCTCTATATCTCAACCAATAGGGGTGGGCAGATCCCATGACAGTAGGGGCAGGAAATTAATTCTAAATTTTAAAGGATGTATGCAAGGTGTTGAACCTTGAACAGGAGACACACAGGGGAAAGGCCTGTGTAAATCTCTGCTTAATAAGATACGCTAGTTTCCAGAAACTAACAAACTACAAAAGATCTATCACACTGCAGAAATAAAAATGTGACACCACTTTAACTGCCATGGTTCCATCCTGCAGAATCCTGAGAATTTTAGAGGTATTCAGCCTAGTCTGTCAGAGAGCACTGATGCCAAAACAAACTATAAATCCTAGAGTTCTGTAGGATAGAATCGTGGTAGTTAAAGTGGCGTTAATCTGCTTTGTTTTTGCAGCGTGAATACATTCCAAATTGAATAAAATTGATTTTGCAAAACCCAGACTGCAGCTGTATGACACTTTGCATTGTATGACATTTCTGCAACTGGAAAAGAAAGCAAAAAACTAATCAGCATCACCCCTGATGCAGCAAGTTCCTTCAGAGGGATTTCATACCACCTCCATTCTGTTCTGCTCATCTCTTTTCCCAGCAGCCTCAGAACTTCCATGGAAAGAATATAAACCAGAGGTAGGCAACCTAAGGCCCGGGGGCCGAATGTGGCCCCCGCTTTGGTCCGACCCCAGGCCGGTCCTGCCGCCGCCACCCGCCATGATGATATTGATTATTGTTGTTATTATTTGTTCTTGGGATTTTCTTGACAAAATCTCCAAAGGGGTTTTGCCATGGCTTTTCTGGGGCTGAGAGAGTGTGCATGCATATTTTTAAATATTTTTTACATTTATTTATTTATTTATTTATGGCACTTCAGCCCCCCAATTGTCTGAGGAACAGCAACCTGGCCCCCCGCTCAAAAAGGTTGCCTACTCCTGATATAAACACTGATGAACTGAAGCGGGATAGCATGTCAGGAAACCACAGTATCAATGGCTAACATCATCTTCCTGCTCCACAGGTAGAACAAGCTATCTACAGAATACCAAACACACACACACACACGCACACACACACACAAACACCGGAGGAAAACCCTGCAGTGACTTTCAAAATTTGAATGATATCCTAGATCCGTGAGAGTAAAATGAACCAATTCAGAAATTCTCTTTCAAAATGTGCAACAAAAACTTGGCTCTCTGTGCAGCGAAGAAACAGCCTTTTCACTGCTACAGGACAACAGATGCCTGTTTTACCTAAAAACATAATGGAAGAGCTAATTCACACTACACAACTATAGCACTACAATTACACTTTAACTGCCACGAGAGTTATAGAATCCTAGAGTTTGTAGTTAGTAAGGCACTAGAGCTCTGGCTGAGAATGCTAAGTACAGTGGGCCCTTGGTATCTGTTCTGGACAGGTTTCCTATTTGTGGCATTCATGGGATCCGCAGTGGCTTCTGACCAACAGCACCCCAGCATTGATACTCCCCACTGAATCACCAGAGGACTTTGTTCACTTTTATACAGTAGGCACGTCAATTCATTTTCATACATTCACAGCTAGCCTTTCCTTAAGTCACTTCTTCTTTGGGGGGCTTTCAGACTGTGAAAAATTCATTTATGAATTTCTCTCCGCTGAGCATTCTACTTTTGGCCCTTTCCAGGTTTTGCATGAGAATTTCTCTTTGATCCATGCTGTAAAACCAGGTGAAGCAGAACAGATGAAGATAGACCTGACAAATGCATGCTACAGTGTGGTTGGTTCCTGTTGAGGTTTGTGGTTTACTCAGTTCATCACAAGACCTAAAGGAAATTAGTATATATGTAGCGGCACAAACGGTTGGGAAAGTAGAAGAGCCATTCCATGCAGGGCCCTAGTGCCTCTTTTTACAAAAACAAAGCAATAGAGAAAGCACATTGCCTTGTTTCCATTCTCTTCAGAGAACTCTACCAACAATGGACCCAGGATCCAACTCCTCCTCTTCAATGAACAGAACAAAATCTCTTGAGTAGCAAAGGGGATTGCCCCTGGGACCAGCTCTGAATATCCCCACACCAAAACCACCGGAACAAGAGAAGCCTGTTTCGTTGACAACTCTCCAGCTTGAAGAAATTTGTATTGTAACTTCACACACTGGCCCAGAAATCATAGCACCAGTACCATGGGCTTTCTGGAAATTTTTGAACTGGAAAGTTCTCCAGAACATTTTCCAGCACTGTAAAATACAGTACAGTATGATTTAGGCCTAATCCAATTATCATTTCCAACTAGAGTGCATTGGAGTACTAGAATGAATCAATCTGGTAAGTTAAGTTGTATGTAAGTTTCATTGATTTTATGGACCTACTCTAGCTAGGATTAACTACTGGAACACTTATCCACAAAACCTTTCATCTGACTTGTGTTTAATAAACAAGCTTTTTACTATCTCAACAGACCAAAAATGTTTGAACTAAAATATTTGATTAGAAATGCATAAAGTACAATCATGCAGTGTAAATATTATAGGCCAACAAATTCAAAGCTGTATGTGGAGATTTTTATTAGAATACTAGTCTTTCAACTTCTTACACATACCTCCCTGATACTGTTTGTTTAAATTTAAGGTGAAGTCACTGAAAACTCTAGACACACTCATCTGAGCACCACCCAATGTACTAGGCATGATATCACCTCCTTCTGGGAGAGTTTTACTTCCACTGAGG